GCGACTGAATAACCAGAACCAGATCCCAGATTTCGAATCGGAATCGGAATCAGCCAACCAACAAGCGGCCACCGTTTTTGGGGCGTGTTGTCAAAAGAAGACAGCGAGCAAAAAGTAAACAAAACATTCTGGCGGGACGGCGGGGCAAAAAATCACATGGAAAAACCTTTTAATTAATTATGCATCAGCGATTGTGTTTAAATAAAGCGAAACTCAGTCAAATCGGATTCAGAGGGTTTTTGTTCGCGTGTGCGGGGGAAAACGAAGGGCAGATCATCATCAGCTGCCAGTGACAAACGCGCATTACGCATACGCCAGGATGAACCCGTGTAGATGACGGCGATTAGATAATGCAGATAACTCTTCTCCGTCCTCCGTATTAACTCTACTAGTAGTTATTTAGCTTGGGATAATCTCTCTTTACGCACATTCTGAATATTAACATTGATTCATTCATGAGCAGTATTAGCCAAAGCTTAACCCAAAGATATTTTAAACCAATTCACATATTCATTATTTCATTATTATTAGATCATTTGTAGTGTCAAGCTGTTCCCATTTTGGTTATGGTGATTGAAAATATCTTTGATTATCCACCAAAGTTTCTTGATGTTGTAATAATTATGTTGAATAATTTTATTTACTTTCAAAAATGAGTTTGAAAATGGTACTTTTACTTATAAGTGACCTTGAAGGAACTGTATCTACGCTGTTCGAAATTCGTACTTATGCGAAACAATCCCTTGTTTCACTCAAGACTTAATCTATGATCTACCCCGGCAAACCACAGAATTTCCTCAAATACACCCCTTACCATTTGCTGAACTTCTTGGCGATCCTTTGGCAATTGTTCATCGGCTGGAAGAACGAGTCCTCAATCAGTGCATTTGTCAATGGGTCGTCAGCCATGTCAGCCACGTCTGCCACGTCAGCAGCATGACTTCTGACACGATCGGAGGAGCAGGGAAGGCAGGGTTACCCATATGCCCACATTCGATTTGACGGATGCTCGGGGGATGGGGCGCAAGCTAGAAGCCATCATAATTTAAACATGAGTGTTGGCTGCCACTGCGCACTGGGCTAACAATGATGCGGCTTATGGTGCGCTACATCGTGGCTGGGCTCAGCGGTTCTGAAGAGGATTCAGGCTGCGAGGAACTGCGGTATGGCCTGGCCTGGTCTGGAGGGTCGTCCATTTGGCGGCCTTATCAGCGACAGCGATGGCAGATTAATCGGCCGCGATAAGAGCCCGAACCCTGGGATGTGGACACGATGACGGGCATGATGACGAGTGCGGATGATCGACCAGAAGAATGGAGTGCTGGCGATGATGATGACGGTAGCGTGGCTCCTCACCACTCCGCCTCGCGGATCGATGTGCCTTTTCCTATGGATGGCACCATATACAGTTGCGGAGACATTAATAGCACCATAAGCACATTTCGTGTTTGTCCCAGCGTTTCTGTATTTTCTGACACTTTTTCATCATTTTACTCACTAAACTTAAATTCTACAATGATTTTCAATCGAAATAACAAAATTAGTAACAGATCTAATGGATATTTTGAAAATAATTGGCAAAACAAAAAGAAAACCTTCAAATTTAGGCGATAACAAAAATAGCACTTTTTTTCGTAGTTTGCTAAAACTAAGCAAAAAAATAAAAAAATAATTCAACAAATGGATTATATCTTAAGAACTATGTTTAAAGAATCTTAATATTTGGTTGCGTGACCTTTGTTGGCGATGACAGCTGCGCATCGTCCTGGCATGGAGTCCACCAAGTCCTGGCACCGTTTTTGAGGAATTTTGCTCCATGCATCCTTGAGCACACCCCAAAGTTCCTCGATATTATTGGGTTTGGCTTCAGAAACCTTTTTTTTCACGTCGCCCAAAGGTTTTCGATTGGATTCAAGTCGGGTGACTGAGCAGACCATTTCATTACTCTGATCGATTTCTGCTCAAACCACTTTCGAGCTTTCTTGCTCGTGTGTTTTGGGTCGTTACCTTATTGAAATGTCCAAACTAACGGCATTTCATCCTCGGCATATGGCAGCATCACATTTTCCAGGATATCTGTGTAAATATGCTGATCCATGATGCTTTGAATCCAATGGATCGAACCTACTCCATAGTATGAAAAGCACGCCCATACCATTATGTTTGATCCTCCGTTCTTTACCGTCTTAGAGGTGAAGCGAGGATTATATTCAGGTCGTGGTGGACGCCGAACATAAGACCGAGAGCCTTTTCCACCAAACAACACAATTTTGCTCTCATCTGACCACAAAATGTTGCGCCACTTCTCCACAGGCCAATCCTTGTGTATCTTAGCATATTCCATTCGCTTTGCCACATGCTTCACAGTCAAAAGCGGGACTTTTCTGGGACTCCACGCATTAAAGTTGTTTTGTCTTAAGCGTTTGCATACTGTTTTCACGCTTTCAGCTATCTGAAGCTCCTTCTTCAATTCCGTTGCCGGCTTAAAAGGCTCCTTCTTGCTTTGCCGAACCAAGCGCTTGATCTCCACGTTGGACATTGAGGGCTTTCTTCCACGTGTTTCGTTCTTTTCGACAAACAGCAGTGCTTTGCGGATCATTTTGTTTGAACAACCGAAAATTCGATCAATTTTAGCGTAGGTTTTACCTTCAGAGACCATGTTTTTAATCAAATTTCTTTATTCGACGGTACAATGCCTTCCGCGACCCATGACTAGAGAATTTTTGGTCTTCGTTTGGAAAAAATTCAATTAAAACCTTTAATGCAACTCCTTTTTTCAAAATTTGTCAAAAAAAAACCCAAAGCAATCACTCCTATTAATTTTATTCAGCAAATACGTGGTCAGTGCTAGTTTTGTTACCGCCTCATTTCGGGCGCTTTTACAGAAAGTGCCCAAAAACAAAAAGAACCGTTACATTGAGAGAGTAAAAATTTCTTGCTCAGAGAGACAACATATGGTACTTATTATTAATGCAAACTGACTTTAAAAAAAATAAACATTCAATCATTTTTTTTAGGAAATAAACTTTCCACCTGCAGTCGTGCTATTTTTTTAGCCGCAGCTGTACCACTCCGTATGTCTGTGTGCTCTTTGTTGTTCGATTTCGGTTTTATATTCTCATTTTTCGGGGCTATTCCCTACTCCCTCCTGCTTGGCATTTTCGGCTGGACTTGGTGCAAAGGTGTGCCTGGGTTATGCGAAATATGCGTGGCGTTGTCAATCGGATCGGCTGGAGGGATCGGGATCTGCACTGCCATGGCCCAAAGTGGTTTAGATTAAAGGGTTTAGTTCTCTGCCTTGTGTTATTTCATTTTGGGGCGTTATTTGCTCAGCGAGACGTGCGACTGCTTTTGACTCTGGCTTCGGGCTTTATGCTCTGCGTTTTTGTGTTTTTGTTTGACTGCAGGAAGATCGATCTGGCCGATCGGTCGGTGCACCTCATTGACCTCTCTTCATCTGCCAGCTCCCTTAGCCCTGAGCCCCTTTCGACCCTTCCGCATCCCAATCCCCGTCAGCTCGGCATTTCTGTTGTTGTGCCCGCTGAACATCTGTCGATCTTGTTTGGCGATAATTTGAATTGAGTTTTCTCTCCAAGTTGGCCAGCCTTCACATGTGTAAAAAGTCCAGAGCATCGAGGGCCCGCAAGGGGTAATGCCGGTAGGCGTGTTAATAACAGAGCTCATCCTCGTCAAATGAAGGCACACATGTGAAATGACACCAGATCTAGGCGAAGTGCAAAGCTTTCCCACAGCACTCAGAAAAAACACTCTACAGTTTTCAATTGCCGTTCCATCTTTATGGGTTTTCAAAATGAAGTAACAATACCCTTTCTATATTTCTTAATAAGTTACAGTATTACCTTAAAATAGATTCCGACTCTGTTTTGTGTACTCAAATATTACACCCTTTAGCCAGATCCTAAATTAGCAAGAAACTCTTTTCTGGGTGTACCTGTACCAGTATTACTTCCCCAGAACGTGTCACCTGAAATGGGGAACGGGAAAGGAGGAGTGAGTGGAGTGGAGTGGAGCGGAGTCATGGTGGAACCCAAAAGGAGGTTGGGGGAGGAGCAGGGTCCCAGAGTCTCGGCCAATCCGCCGAGCACGTTCAAGTCGTTTTCTCGCAATTAACGCGAAATTCTACGAATTGTTTAATTAGAACTCCAGTTTCAGTTCTCAGTTCTCGGTGTTCGGTGTTCGGTGCTCGGTGTTCAGGTTGCATCCAAAGGTCTGCGAATCCAAAGTCGCCTGCAACCTCTGCACGTTTGTATCTTGTGGTTCTGGCTGCTTTTACCTCGCTTGTTTGGGGCTGCATAATCTTTTCTGTAAACATGAAACTCGCGCCATTATAGCGAGCCAACGCTGAGAATGGAATGGTATGGTTGAGGTATGGCTATGGGTATGGGGGCTCAGATCTCGGCCAGAACCTGGCTGCGTTTTACATGTTCGCCTGCTTTGCGCCGTGTGGCAGCGATTTGAAATTTAAAATCTGTGAATTTGAAGCAGTTTATCGAGACGCGACGCGACTCCGACTGCAGCCTCCTCGTCCTTTCCTTGGGTGTTGTCCCCGATTCGGTCGGCCGATTAAATCATTAAATATTCCGATTGTGTAGCGTTATAATGAAATGTTTTTAGCGCTTGTCTGACTTGGAATTATGCAGGGAATTAAAGGATCTCATTCCCGGGCTGCCTCTTATTTGCCAAGCGAAGAAACTTCTTTATATGTGGAACATGTTGGACGGTTGTCCGCGATAAGCAAAGATGTTCCGGGCATTTGGCGTATTTACTGGGTATTGAGCGATAATGCTGCAGACATAGGGGCTCTAGATTTGCATCAAATAATTTTCTTTTAATGTTCATTAACTTTTGGCAGCATTTCTATGATCTAACAAGTTAGGTGTTTCTAATTTCTAATTTCAAACTAAACCGCCCGCTTATCAATCGATAATCTAATCTCCGCTCTTCTAATGCGTCTCTGCGTGATCGATATGTTTACTTGCGTGCGGAACAGCTGACTCGTGCCATCTCTAGTAGACACGCGCATAGATGATATATGAATTTCATCAGTTAAACGCGGCAAAGTTTCGAAAGTGATATTAGCAGTTTTAGTTGTAATGAAAAGCAACTATGCACTTAATAATCATCGTCCTGTTTTCAAGTGCCTCCGCTGTTCTGTTCCCCGACTTGGAGGACTACTGCAATGATTCATATTGCCATATACTTGGCAGGAGCCGGAAGTATTCCGATAAGAAGGCTACCAAACTAACCGAGTTCCATATAGACTTTTGCGACAAGGAGGTACTCCAACTTATGCCCAATCTGCGCACCCTGGAGCTGGAGTACTGCGACAGTCCGGACTTCACCATGAAGGACCTGTATCCACTTCCGTACCTAACAAGCCTTCAATTGCGACGTAGCAACCTCATGGAGCTGCACCGGGAACACTTTTCCAAGTGGCCAAAGATGAAGATCCTTGTGCTGGGAGGGAACAACATAACGCGACTATCCGATGAATGCTTTAAAGGACTCCCTGAGCTGTGGCTGCTGTCTCTGCCGGGCAATGGTATTCGAGGGTTGCCATGGGGTGTATTTGAAACCCTACCAGAACTTCTGCATCTCGATCTAAGTGGCAATAGAATCGAAAATCTTCCGGAAAACATTTTTTCTGGCGTTCCCAAGCTAGAGATGCTGCTACTCAATGGGAATCCCTTGACTGTAATATCGTCTACATCTCTAATACCTCTACGAAACCTACGCCTTTTGGACCTCAGCTACTGTGGACCGCTGCCGGATCTTTCATTGCCCGGTGCACATACCCTAATCCTCGACAACAGCGGCGTGCAGCGCCTCGCCATTTTGGGCAGTGTCCATAAACTCCAAGCGAGGAACAACCATTTAACGGAGATCAAATTACCCAACAAAAGCTCTGTTATCGAACTTGATTTACATAACAATTTACTGAAAACATACGATATTCCCAAACTTCTAATGGGCATGTGGAGACTACAACGACTGGATCTATCCAAGAATCTCATAGGGATGTACGCCGCGGCCGGAAGCGACAATTCGAGCGAGCTCTTCATGCTGCCCAATCTTATGTATTTTAACATCTCGGGAAATCGTCTGACGCGTCTGCACTTCGATTCGCCGATTCCATGGGAAAGGCTTACTCATTTGGACGTTTCGTACAATAGAATAATTGCGCCGGCAGGACACGGCATTGACGAAGCTTTCAATCTTCATAGTTTGCATTTAGAGGGTAATTTTATTAATTATTTAATGCTATCACCCTGGAAACCTCATCCACCCCTGAAAGAGGTGGCTCTGTACGACAACAATTTCCAGTCTGTGGGCTATAAAAATATTACAAACTTCTTCAAAGAAATTGGAGTAAACGTCTTAGAGAAAACGCAATACAATCACTCAAACAGCGCGTCTCCAACTTGTAAGCCTTGTATGCCAGATGTCAAAGATGTTCCTTCAGGGAACGACACCAGCCAAAAATGGGACACAGATACCAAAGTCAATCCTTTAAGCAACGACACTTATCGAGAATGGAACGTATGGAATGTACTAATGCTGGTTTCCCTGATTATTTCTCTGTCCCTCAACTCATTTCTAATCATTCGTTGGAGAAGAAGACACCTGTTTACGCAATCAACACCACTATCTCCCATAAGGGAGATGATTTCAAACGACTCTGATGATCAAATGATGCTGTAATATGCATTTAATCAGTCATTGTTCTTAAGATGTATATATATACAATATATATACATATGTATATATATATAAACTGTTGCTCAAATAAATAAAGAATCTCTGGATTTGCATTTAAATAGCCCGCCACTCTTTTGGTTTTAAACCTACAAATTGGTTCGAAAATGAAAATTACCCGCATTTCCTTAATATTTTGTGTAAGTTAAGGTCTTATCTATATAAATGTATCTGAAAAACGACAGAATGTTGAGTTCAGAATGTTAGCTCTTTATCACTATACACACGAGGCGAAAGCTTTACTTTGTTGCTATCAGCAAAGCTCTCATGGGTATTTGACTGCAAAGCTCAACTCGCTGATCCACAAATCCAGATGATACGAATATGATGCTGTTGCCGCTTCGATCGAAGCTAGTGCATTATGAGCAGTCTGACAAAACGCGAGCAAAGTGAAGCGGAATAAGATGCATTTTTACATTGTATATCTTTTGCTCGGTACTTGCGGCTACGCGGTGGGCAATGTACTTTCCGTTTACGATGCCACCGGACGCTTGAACCTCAGTGCCAGTTGCCCGGATTCCTTCTGCAGCTTAGGTGAGCGGGCGGTGGCCTACTCCGCGACTCCGGCTCTGCAGCTCCGGGAGTTGCACTTGAAGAACTGCAGCCGCCAATCGATGACCTGGCCGGTTCTGAACCTTACGCCAGGTCTCCGGACCTTGGTTATCCGCAACTGTGCCACCTACCACATCAGCAAGGAGAGTCTGAGGCCAGTGGCAAATCTCACCTCGCTGCAGATGCAGGGTACGAGTCTTGGTGTCCTCCGGGATCAGATCTTCACCGCAGTGCCTCGTTTGGAGATCCTGCAACTAAGTCAGAACTTCTTGCACACGGTGCACGTAGGCGCCTTCAGGGGTTTGTCCAGACTGAGATTACTGGGCCTGCAAGGGAATGGGATACCTGAGATCCTGGCCAGCACATTCGATCCTCTGCTGGAGCTAGTGCATCTGGACTTAAGCAGAAATCAGCTGACAACTTTGCCAGAAAACGTCTTTGCTAAAAATAAAAAGCTAGAAACCCTGCTGCTCAATGGCAACCCATTGAGAATTTTTCAACCAGATGTGCTCAGCTCATTGCCCAATCTTCGAGTACTCGACTTGGGACATGCTGGTGAATTGGAGGTCATGACGCTGGACCTATCCAATGTGCAGAACTTGGTTCTGGAGGGGAGTAGTCTTAGCAGTTTAGTCATCAACGGAGGCTTTATCAAACTGCAGGCGGGGAACAATGAGCTGAATCATCTGCAAGTGGGAAACAAGAGCGCTGTGATTGAGATGGATTTGCATGGTAATTTGCTAAGTGGAAATGATACGGCCGCCCTTCTCAGAGGAATGTGGAATCTGCAAAGACTGGATCTGTCCAAAAACATAATCGAAGCCTTGCCACTACATGGAAGCGGATTGGATGCCTCCGGCTCACAGGAGCTGTTCATTTTGCCCAGTTTGAAGTACCTGAATTTGGCGAACAATCGGTTGGTTCGCTTGCCTCCGGAGTCGCCAATCCTCTCATCGCATCTCAGCTTCTTGGATTTGTCCCACAATCTAATGCTTACCCTCGATGTAGAGGTCCTGAGAAGTCTGTCGGTTCTGGAGGCTCTGTTCGTGGAGGGCAACCGCCTGAATACCTTCGACTACCAGAAGCTCCACGAGGAGCACCAAGATCTCGCAGAGCTGGGGCTTCATGACAATCCCTGGTCACCCGGCTTATACCGCAGGATGTTTCTCTACCTCAGCGATCGAGGAGTTCATCTGCAGGCGAGGCCCCAAAACCGTGACCTGAACAACAGTGGCCGCGTGAATATCGATTGGCCACCGAATGAAAGCCAAGCGGAGGCTCAGAAACTGGACCCACCGGGAGTGACTGGCATACACCCTTACTGGACTCTTAGGGATATCCTCGCTTTTGTTACACTGCTGGTGGTGATGCTCATTCTGCTGATGAATCTGTACCACATCCTGGAGGAAGAGGGCTGTCTGCGAAGGTTCCGTCATTGGAGGAGGTCCCGCATCCATGGGCAAAACACTTCAACGTCCAGGAACAGTGGTCGACGCCTCGACGAGCAGGACTCCGAAGTATGAGCCTGGTCAACACTTTGGCGCACTCGCTTATCCTTTCTCCGTTTCTCAAAACAGCACAGCTCCAGTGAATAGACGTGAGATGTAGCCAAGCTGCTCCGTAAGCCAAATAAGCGCCAATTTGATGTCAATTTAGCGCTAGTCTCTGCTCTTTCCCAGCGTGCTGTGGGTATATCTGTAGCTTACCTACTTGCTTGCAGCTATCGTCTGCTACCCTGCACTTCTCATTCAGTGGGAGCGTGCCGAAGTTAGACAATATACACAAATGCATAGAATGTGATAGCAATAAATTACAATTTAAATCAACAAACCACACAGTACGTTAAACTAACCCTCTCGCTTATATACCTACCGATAAGAAAATGTTAATATTATAACATTTCTAAATGGAAATCTTTAAGGGGCTTATCAGTCTAATCATTAACCATATATGTATGTAATTTAATTTTATACATACTGCCATTCCTCATTGCCTTTTGCTATCTGTGAGCAATATTTTATATAGGGTATGTGCATTGTCGTTTCATAATATAGCTATATATTTTGCATATGACTTCTTAGCTGCGAATAGATAGCAACAATTTACAGACCAGAGCACTGAAAAGGTGGAAAGTGAAAAGTAATACACTCAAAGAAGTTTTAAAACTGGATATTTCTTGAAAAATATAAGCACATACAAATCACATTCTGAGCGCATCCACGTACCATTTAAGCAACCATTTCTCTCAGTGCAGAGAAGAGCTCACCGGTCCAGGCGAAAAAGATGCACTTACAAGATTCGGACAAAATACGAATTTAATTCAAAATAATTGCACAGCATGCACAGGAGGACATGTGGAGTGCTCTTTGGCTGTGGGGCTGCTGTTGGGCCAAGACTAGTTAGTACTCCGCCAGCAAGTTGGCCAAGAAGGGGGCAGAGAAGCGGGGAAAGGGGAGTGGAGAGTGGCTAGACCTGGTTGAACATCGACTTTTCCGCCTTCGTTGCTGCCACTTCTTGCATGTTTGCTGCGAGGCCGTGGATTTGTGGCGTTTGCATTTGCGTAGACCTTGCCACCAACCGACATACATACATTCGTATATATGCAGGCATTGTAGCCCCGACTTGCCCCGCCCCCCCAAGGATCGGGGCGGCTATCTACATGCATACGTATCAACATGTTTCGGGTGGAAATTTTGCCCGTGTTTATGTTTGGGGGTCCTCTGCTCGCTGGATTTTGATAGGGCATCGCAATTTCTCAGAAATTGTATTTTGATTTATTTATAATGTTGCAGCGACATGCACATGCATCACACAAAGGCACCACGTTGTTGTTGCTGTTGCTGTTGCTGTTGTTGGTGTTGCCACTGTTATTGTTGCATAAGCGGTACTTGGTATTGTTGTTCTTGTTATTACAGGGCATGCGAATCAAATCATTTTGATTAAATTAGAAATATGCAAATTATGTGCAGCTCATTAATTATGCGCCAGCAGAAGATTTGGCCCAGGCGATAAGACAGGCCAAGAGATGGAGCGAGACAGGCAGATGCTGCAGGAGAGAGATGCAGCGAGTTGGGGGAAGAAAGAGAGGGGGCGACGGAGCATCATCGATTGAATGCGAGCGAAAACGCGTCACAAATCGCCCGCAAAACGCGCGCAAATCGCTTGGCAATTAAATAACTTCACACCGCGCGCTAAGTGGGCGTGGCCGCCGACGCCCACACACGCCCAGAAATTTCGCATTTGAAATGTAAAGTGCACGCGGCTTTTCTGTGAAAAATATTTCAACGATTTGTAAAAAATCGAAAGGCAATAAATGCATTTTTATCCCTCAATTCTCGCGCAGGGGTGTGAGCCGGGGTATGCTCGAATTGTGGGATCGAGACTCGCCCGAATACAATCACAAATGCTCACAGATGTGAAAATTGTTTATGTTGTTACGAGTTACGATGGAAATTGCTAATAGCTAAATGGCAGTGATGCTCATCCCATTTTAATTCCCATTGAAATCTGACTTTGATATTTATATTTACTGTAGGTACTCCATAAGGAACTAATAAGCAACTATTAATTGGTACCCGCTACGGTAGCAACTGTTCGATCACGCGCTGAACCTAGGAACCTACTGATTGCAATTGCCACAAACCATAACGTGAGGCACCCCTGAGAAGGCAATGCGAGCCGATTCCGATTCCGATTCCAAAGCGAGCCAGGCCAATCCTGACCACAACAATTTACCAATCGTTCATGCGTCCCATGGGCCGCCAGATTCTCCCTGCCATTGCGTGTATATCTCCGCCCCTCCGCACGCCCCCGCCCCCTCGGCGAGCATGCACCACCCCGCCACCCCCTTTCGATGTGCATTCGAAGGTCTCCCCCTTTATTTTTTTTTTTTTTGGGGTGGGCGTTGCCGCGGAGGCTGTGCAAAGTGTAAATTTATGATCATGCGATTTTTATCGAATGTGAATGTGAAAAAGAGTACAACGTTTTTTGCACTTTATAAACAACGGAGGCAGCAGCAGCAGCAACTAAAGGATAAAAAAGAGAAGGCCAAAAAGCGGACTGGGCCGTCGGCCGAACGCATTATTATTAATACTCGCACGCCGTCTGTCATGTTTTGTATTTAGTCAATTTTTATGTGTGGTTTTATTGAGCGTTTTTTAGCACTTTATGCTGCCAAACCGCGGCCACACCCCCACCACCACCGCCGCCCCTTCCGATTTCGGCTTAGAGCCAGGTTATGGGTTACGGGTTACGGGTTACGGGTTACGGGCTATGGGCTATGGGCTATGGTCTGTGAATTGGATTGGATTGGGTCGGATTCGGCTGGTTCTTCCTCCTCGCCGATGCCAATGCCGTTGCCTTTGCCTTTGCCGTTGCCGTTGCCGTTGTCGATGCCGATCCATAAATCATGCGCCTTTTGGGGGTCGGCGTTTATCAAATTTTCGCACACTTGGCTCTCGACTGCGCCTGGCTGGAAAATGAGATTTTCCAAAAATGGCAAAACGCCTT